TCATCCAGGCTTTTGTTCTTTTGTGTCTGAGCTGAGGTAGTTGTGAAATCTTTGTCCCTTCGAAGTTTTGTTTGTCCGTCCCCCTGAAGGCTTAGCCCTGGACCCGTGGCTCCAAGCAGAACTCCCTGTATTGTGATTGCGTGAATGGTTAAGCCTGAAGTGTCCTGCAGCCACCTCACTGTATTTATTTATGTCTTTGCTGAAGCCCAGAGGTTTCGTCCACTTTGCTTTGTCCCTCCTACCCCACCTCTCAGGCATGCCTGGATTTGAAGTCATGCATTGTTGTGTCCTGTGATTTTCAATGTCTAAAACAAGGTCCTTAGAAAGGAGAGAGTAAGGGCAGCATCGGGGTGCAAAGTAGTTGAGACGAGTTGTCAGGATTTGGAAGGAGGAAGTGCCTGTGGGTATTTGAAAGGGTCCTAATGTTGCAAGGAAGGAAGGAAGGAAGGAAGGAAGGAAGGAAGGAGGGAAGGAAGGAAGGAAGGAAGGAAGGAAGGAAAAAAGAGAGAAAATAGGGGTCAAATGAATAACACTTGAAGTTTTGAGTCAATTACAATCTATTCAATTACTTCTAATTTAGATAGAGAGGCTCCATCTAAAGGTGAAGAAATGGGGTTTGTGGGGGCTCTCCCCACTCAAGAGCCTTTCACTCAATCTAGCTGTCTCGTACGTCCTTGTAGCCTGGGTCAGCGATCTTCACAGTGGAGTGTGGGAGAAAAATGGAAAACTTCCATTTTAAATTATATTTATTTTAACCCTTCTGTAATTTTGAACTGGGGTTAGTAAAACAATGCATCTCTATAAGATAAACAGACATGCGTGTTGGAGGTGCATGTTCAAAATGTTTGTACTGATAGGAACATAATCAACATGCGGCCTGGGTGCACATTAACCTTCTAACAGCAAAGTGCCTCTTACAATCAGCTGGGTTCCTAATGAGCTACTTACATAAACATGATCAATAACGGTTCCGTAGGTATTTTTGTCCAAAAGGAAAGTCTCTTGACTTTTTCCAAGATTTTAACACAAACCCACATTCATAGTAGCATATTTGGAAAAGTATGAAGAAAATTAACATGCATAACCCCAGCCCATGTTTATAAAAGAGAGATCTTTCACTTTTGAGATCTGGAGATCATTTTCAATTTTGCTTAAAACTCTATAGGGGGCTGAAAAGTCACCTGCTACGTCAGCAGACCTGAAGTCAGACAAAGCCACCTTTGTACCCCAGGAGACCCAAGGGGCAGCCAAGAATCCTACACCCACGGAAACGGCAAAGGAGGGTGCCAAGCAGAAGGGGGGGCCCTCCCCTCTGCCTCTGGGCAAACTGTTCTGGAAAAAGGTAAGTGCTGGTCTCAAGATGTGGAGAGGGCGTGGGGCCGGGATGACTTAAGAAGTTCTTTCCGTTGGGCCAATCAATGACCTCAGCAGCATGTGGTGTTTCTCTCTCTTCTGCGAAATGACTCAAGTAGCCATTGAGTGGAAGACTTGCTCATTGACTCAGAATGACATGCCTCGCATAGTATAAACATGTGTTTCGTGGGAAAGGAAGGGGAAGGAACAAGGAGAATACTTCATTCTTGGAATTACTCCGGTTCATGATTGCGGGTTGTGGTATTTCATGACTTCATTGTCTTTTGAAAATCACTTATTACTTGACCCCCTCCCTGCCCCAGCTTCCTCTGAGCGCTCTGTCCCTGGAGAGACGAGCCCCGCCTGGGCTCTTTTTGCCCCTCCAGATATAAGCAGTCACTAGAAGCACCAGATTTCACGGTTCTTTGGAAAAGCCAAGGTGTCCACCGGCTTCCCACGGGGCAAGCACACAGCGTACTCTGTGATGGGAAAACGTAAACCACGGTCTGATTTGTTCCTCTCTAGAACGGAGGAGCCATGCGAGGGAGTGGTTTGGGTGGGGCTGAGTCATTCTGAGAGCTATTGCTTGGTCATCACAGCTGCCACACATGTTCCCAAGTCTTGTGTGTTTTCAGTGTGGCCAAACGATAAGCAAGACGTGGTGGGCGAGGCTGGCGGTGGGTGTGATCCGTAGAGCTGGGAAAATCCAATTTAGTAAATTCATCAAAACCCATGCCACTTGCACACAGGGCAGGCAGGTGATGATACAGGTGCTGCTGTGGAGTTAGTTTATTCTCTCGTCTGGAATCCTGGGTTCCTAGCTGGATTTCTGAATGGCCTCCTGTGTGTTTTCCTGCCGTGAGGAATTCTTCCTTCCAGGTTCGGCCCAGGAACAAACTCCAACACCAAGTGAAAACTTAGGGTGATGCCATGTGGTGTTCAGTTCAAACCCTCTTCCCTCACCAACCACCGATGACTTACTCTTAAAAATCTTTTATCAGCACTATAATGTAGGGGACAGTTTCTAGTGAGTGACATCCACTTAGGGGCGGCAGGGCACATGACTTTGGTGGCCCATAGTCAAACAGGTTTACCTTTATTTAAATCTATATAAATTTAAAGTGTATTAGGAAAGACAGAACTGGCACATTGAACTTGGTTTAACATATATTTTGTTCAAGTAAGAGAGAGGTTTCAAAAGCAGCCCAATTGCAAGGCAAGTGCAGCATAGATCACGGTACTGACAGTAAGTAAGTAAAGGTAAAGTGGGTCCTCCAGGACGCAGACCCCGCGACAGAAGTGAGGTGCAAGAGGAGAATGAGTGTGAAGGGGAATGGGAGTGGCAGGAGGAGGCACGGGGCCTGCCCACCAATCAGAGCCGGACACCGTGACCTGTGGCTGAGGGAGGGAATGGAGTGGGAGAAGGTCCCTCAGCCTGAGGGTGGGCTGGGCCAGAGGGGATTCCAGCACAGACACTGGGCGTTCTGGGGCCACACTTTGGGCAGAAATAGCCCAGCACCCCCAGGGCTCAGTCATGGGCTGGGAGCAGCCGGGCAGAGCCAGCCTGGGCATCAAGGATGCTGAAGGCGCCACCCGATGGCGCATACAACAAGGCAAAAACCTCTCAGGAGGCCGGCAAGTATCCGACGTTGGAGAATCCCTTACATAGGGTTAAAAGTCTGGTGTCAGACATATCTGACTTTGAGTCCCCGTCTGCTTGGATGAGCCTCAGTTTCCTAAGCTGTAAAATGCAAATAAGAAGAGCACCACGTGATGGAAAGGAAGCCAGGGTTCGGTGAAATAATTCTGGCAAAACCCTAACCCGTGCCCAGCGCAGAAGTGGCCGGTGGGCGCTGTCCCCAAGTCATTGATTTCCTGGCCTCCGTTCGGGAGGGTTGGGCACTGCCCACATCCACTTCTCATCCTTCTGGGCCGCCCCCGGTTTGGGGGCGCCTCTAAGCCAACAAGCCTCCGCGCTTCAGCTTCATCCTCTCTTCCCTTAGGGCTCTATCGGAGGTGTGCTTTGAAATTCAAGCTTTTCCCTGGAGATAAAAGGCGGGTTTGGGACATTTATCTCCCTAATACCAGAATTTCATTTATTTCCATTCCACTCTTTTTTTCCAACATTATCTGGTTTTACTTCATTAGTCGATTATAAAAATTACTAAAAGCTGAATCCCCTGTAAATCTTGTTTTTCCTTCTTTCGCCGGGTCAGAAAGAACCATGCCCTCTGGAGGTAAAATGGAACGATTCACTCCCGTGACAGTATTTTTAGTCGGTTTCTTTCATCAGTGCTGACTTTTTTTGTGCTAAATACTTTGTGTCAAGTAATCAGCATTGAAAAGACAGCAGTGCCTTTATTTTGTTCGTTAGATTCTACTTATAAGTGAAATCATATGGGTCTTGTCTTTCTCTAAAAAAACAAAATAGAAACAGACTCATAGCTTCAGAGAACAGACATGCAGCTGTCAGAGGGGAGGGGGAGGGGCTGGGTGGAAAAGGTGACGGGATTAAGAAAAACCAAACCAAAAGCCTCAAAGTCAGACAACCTTATGGGATTGCCAGAGGGAAAGGGGGGTGGGGGAGGCAGAAGAGGGTAAAGGGAGGGTAAGTGGTGATGGGAGTTGGTAGTGAACACACAGCACAGTATACTGATGACGTGTTGTAGAATTGCACCCCGAAACCTAATTTTATTAACCAGTGTCACCCCAATGAATTCAACCAATCAATCCATCAATAAGAAAAGACAACAATGGGGAGATTGCTGACCTCTTGCAGTTTACAATCTCATGGGAACTTCTCTTCTAATTGGAAATAAAATTGAGACCTTTGTTTTCTTTAAATTAAAATAAGTTTAGCATAATACTCTCCAGTAGCATGGTCCCTCCATGCCATCTCAAAGGGTAAGAGATCCTTCTCTTTTTTTTTTTTTAAATATATTTTATTGATTTTTTACAGAGAGGAAGGGAGAGAGATAGAGAGTCAGAAACATCGATGAGAGAGAAACATCGATCAGCTGCCTCTTGCACATCTCCCACTGGGGATGTGCCCGCAACCCAGGTACATGCCCTTGACCGGAATCGAACCTGGGACCTTTCAGTCCGCAGGCCGATGCTCTATCCACTGAGCCAAACCGGTTTTGGAGAGATCCTTCTCTTTTACTGCTGATAGTACTCTAAGAGAAATAAGCCAGTCAGAGAAAGACAAGTATCACATGGTCTCATTCATATGTGGAATCTAATGCACAAAATAAACTAATGAACAAAATAGATTCAGAGACATAGAAGCATAGAACAGACTGTCAAATCTCAGAAGGAAGGTGAGGGTAGTGGGTGGGTGCAGAGAGATTAACCAAGGAACTCATATGCATATATGCATAACCCATGGACACAGACAGTAGGGTGGTGAAGGCCTGGGGTGAGAGGGCGGGACAGTTAGAAGGGGTCAGTTGGGGAAAAGGGGGATGTATGTAATACTTTAAACAATAAAGATAAAAAATAAAGTAATTAATTAATTAAAATGTTTTAGTTATAAAATCGTTCTTGTAAAAATTCTGTAAAACGCTGACAAGCACTAGAAAATTCTGGTGTTTCCAGCCACAGACCCGCCGTGCAAGCTGCTCCAGACATGGGCTCTGAGCAGGTGTCTCTGACATGTGACCAACATGGAAGGGGCAGGAGCTCGGCCGCTCATTTAGCCAATTATCCCAACTGGATATGTCAGCCCCTGCTGACCTAACGGCGACACGCACGGCCAGTGTGCAAATGTACAGAAATGTGTGAAAGGGGTTTGCGCAGCTCTTGGACGCTGCCTTAGAAGGTAACCAATCACCTCCTTTTCCCAACCTCACTCCTCGGTGACACTGAGAAGAAAGTCTCCCCTTGCTATTGGCAGGCACCTCTCTCTGTGTCACACGTGCCCACCTCCCTTTCAACAGGACTTTAACTAGAACTTAATGAGCATTTGTGAAACATCAGAAAGACCTGGAAATCTGAAATCATGACAACGATCACAGAAGCATCGTGTCCCAAAGCAGCTCCTGCTTCTTACCATCGCCTCCACCAGGTTCCCAGTCCCATCTCGAACATCGTGAGCAACGACGGCCAGGACTCTCCAGGCATGGAAACCAGACACAAGCTAAGCTCACCCCAGCCAGCTGGGCCGGCAAAGAGGCTTGAAGAACTGAAAGCTGCTCTTTGGAAATGGTGGGAGGACTGTCTCCGCCTCAAGCGGGCAGTATATTGCCTCTTGGAACTTTGGCAGGTCAGGTTGGAGGTGGTCTGGCTTTCAAAATATTGTTTAATTCCTCACCTGTTCAGAATATTAAGTAGCATGCAACTGTTCTCAAGGAGAAAGGGTGTAATTCCAAGAAAGCTACTCTTCTGAATGGCCTATGGTTTCTTGACAATCAGAAGCTTCCAGAAAACCCACAGTCCTTTTTAGGGGCATGTTTGTGCCCAGGTAAATGTTATTATAAGAAGCAGATAAATACAATAAATGATCCACACCGAAGTCTAGAGAGAAGGAACTCTGGTAATGGGCAAAGACACTCAAACAGACACCCACCATTAAAAAAAAAAAAAATGTTTCTGATCCTGGAAGTCATCGTGGCAGGAGGAAAACTTGGTCCTAAGAACCACCTCCCCCACTTTTTAATTGGGGCCACAGTAAGTGAGAGAACATAAACAAAGTGCCAAGGGCAAAAGATGGATTTGTAAATGTCAGTTCCCATCTTCCCTTACACTGGATGTTTTAAAGGTAAAAATAAAGGCAGGACTGGGAACTAAGTAGATATGGGGAGTAGTTCTTAACCTGAATCCAAGAGCAGAGATGTGAGTGTGAATGAACACCCGGAAGCCATGTGCAGAATATGTTCTTCATGCTCACTTTCTGGGAAGACAGCCCGATCTGTCCAGTGAACCTGGACTGAAGTGGTCTGTAAACACCACCACCCAGAAAGTTTAGGAACAGCTGCAGGAAAGACGCAAAGGTGAGCTTTGCAGCTGGAGCTTGGCAAACCGACATAACGAATGTGTCATCGACTTTGGATAGAATAGGGATAACTCTGCTCCTGTTTGGGGCAGCACAGGGAGTAACCGTGTCTGAACTTGGATGTGTTGGGCCCCAGCCCTCTGGTTGTCCATTGACGTGTTTTACCAGAATTAGGCTTGGACATAGGAATGTGGCCCCTATTGAGGGCTGACGTGAGCAGCTTCTGACTCTGGCCACTGTGCGATGGTCAGGACAAGGCTGAGGGCCTGTTTGTTACACGGCGCCTGCTGCTCTCTGAGGACCATGGATGACTCTCTCTGGTCCTGCTGCAGAATTTTCCTGATCATCATTTGTTTTTACCTAACAGTGCCCATGTATTGTGCGACCAAACATATTTCCCCCTTTCCAACAGCTACCAGGACATGTCACCATAAACATGTTACAGCCAAGACCGCGGCTTGTGCTCTCTATAGTGACCCCTGTCCAGGCTGCATCTGGCTGTTCATTTTCCCTTTGTTGCATTTAAAAATACATAACGTATATGATCTTGCTCTTCTGTGTACATTTGTGTCAGCTCCTTCGAGTTCTTTCTGGAACAAGGCACATAAGCAACATCCTGGAGTTGCACCCGGAGGCTGTCCGCCCCGGTGTCTGTAACGTTCTGACTCTTGCTTTTGTTTTTATCTTCCCTTCAGTCGGTTAAAGAGGAGCCCGTCCCCACAGGTGCAGAGGAGAATGTAAGTGACGCATGACGCGAGACTCATTCCATTCTCATCTGCATGTTGGACAGGGGCCCCTCAGCTCCCGAGTTGTGTTCCTGCATGCTCCCAGGGTTGCTCCTCTGCGTGGACTCTTTCACCCTTGCACGGGATCAGGGGCTCTGGGGAATAACTTGGGGTGAACATTTGTAATGCCCATTGAATCAGTGCCAACTAAGTGCAAAATCAGAGCACACACTTTTATCATTTGTTATCCTTTAGGGGCTGAAAGAGTCTACTAACTGTAAGAGCATCTTTATACTTCCTTCCGGGACAAGGATGCCACGCCCTCTGCTCCATTCCGCTCTGGTTGCTCCTTTTCTTTCACGTTCATTTGCATGACAACCCAGATTCTCTACTAACGGTGGGTGGTACTCAGGACAGGCACTTGCCTCAGGCATGAGAGCCTCTTGCTGCAAAAGGTGCTGAGACTGTTGGTCTTGGGTGGGAGAGCCAACTCCGTGAGTCTGTACCTGAGAGACTTAGGTGGAGCCCTACTGTCTTGGCCTTGATCTTCAGAGCAATGGCCAAAGTCTTCAAGACTGTGCACTCATGTCTGAAGGAACTGGCTCCACACCAGACGCCACGAAAATGTTATCTTTCCAAAACATCTTCCCGGGAATGGATGAGTTGGCCTCGTGCTCTGAAAGTGGCAGGCCCTGGAAACTTTAATGAGTGGGGATGGTGAGTTCACTGCTCCTCAACTTAGAAACCAAGCACCATCGTTTTGCCGGAGCAAAATATACTCCTCTCTTCTGGGTGTCTCTTATGTACTTGCCATGGATAGGGTTGCGTTTTCATTTCCATTTAGTTGCTAGAACTGAACAAATACTGAAAATCCAAGCACATTCCAGAAATATTGTTGGCGATGTGGAATAGAAATTAGAATGGCTATGTTATCATTCTTGTGTGTGTTTTTTTCTCTGCAAAAACTTCGTGTCCCTGAGTTTTTTTGCAGAGAAACTTCCTTTAGGCATTCGTGAGTGGTGGCCTGTCTGAAGCACCCGGTCTCTCAGCTCATAGGCCGCGATGCAGTTACTGTCTAGTGGGAAAACAGGAAATATTTCACTTTCTAGTGAGGAATTTAAAACAGGAATATAAACATAAGTTAAATTACTGATACCAAAGATAAACGCAAAAGCTGAGAGATAAATGAAAAAAAGCAAAATATTTTCTCAAGAAAATAAAGAAGCATTACAAAAATTGGCTATAAATCAGTTTACAAAACTCACAGCTCTAGTAAAAACTGTATAAGCCAAATTTTAAGAGTAAGTATGGTGTAATATTTGAGGCAGAAAGTGAAACTGTATTTTGCCAAAATATGTATCTTCAGGCAACATCTAATATCCCCTCCTGGCATCAAGAAAGGGGGATTCAATCCTAAATTATAGTATAAATCTGACTTTAATTGTGTTCATTAAAATGTTCAGATGCAATCATGCATTCTAAATAAGGAACAACTTTTTCCAAAGCCGTGGCCTGGAAGGAAATCAGAAAACTATCCAAACAAAAGTGAAATTCTCATGTTTATATGCAAATAAGCTCCTAATTTAGCTTAAATCCTTCTGGGTTTCCACTGGACTTTCCTTGGCTGCTGAAAGTCAACTTTTTGGGGAGTCTTTTTTTTTTTAGAATAGACTCTGGTCCAGTATTTATGAGTTGACACCTGGCAACCTTAAGAAAGGCCCAGCAAGAGAACCATTGGCAAGCAGATCAAGTTGATTTATAGAGGTATCACCATACAACCTGACCGCTTTATTATGTGAGTAATTTTCCCTCCAGCCCTGCCTCAAAGCCAGAATAATTCCAAACCAGAGCCAGTGAATCAGACTGTTCATTACTTACCTAAGGCCATTTCTCTTTCTCCACTTGTCTTCCCTTGATCTTAGGCAAGGTTGGTAACTACTACATCCCCAAAGTATTTGATCATGATTAGTCTAAACCAATAATTCCATATTCTTCCCCAGTAATCAGTGTAGGAGTAAACATATTACCGACTTTTGGCCAATGAAATGGCTCCTGAGGTAGGGAATTAAAGTACAGAAGTTCATTTGGAGCAAAATCTTTTGCTGTGATCTTCCTTCCTTCTTAGGACCCTGGGTGGAGGCTGTGATGCCTGGACATGTGGCAGCTACTTTATATCCATGAGGTAGCAAATAAAAGCCAGCATGCCAAGGATGTCAGAGCACAAGGGTAGAAAGAGCTCAGGTTCTCAGAGAAATTGTGGAGCCACTAAACCAATCCCAGAACTTCCGACTTTCAAACATTTTGTTCCATAGCTTTATTGGTTAGGGCACTATTAGCTATTCAGTTACTGGTAGACAACTTCATTCTCACCGAAATGGCTACTGACCTGCAGTGTGACGTTGGCCAAGCCATTCAGTCATTCCGATGCTTCCCCTGTCGGTAGAGATAACGCTGCCTGCGCTGAGCTGTCTCTGAACTACTTACTGAGGCCAGTATTAAACTGCCTTGCACAGCGACAGGCACAGTAAAAAGGTAGTTATTAGCATCATCTCTAACCGGGCACATGTGCATGCGGGGTGATTCCAGGGAACCTGTGCCCAGGGGCAAACAGCTCTCTCAACAGCACATGCAGCAGCAGGAGTGTGAACTGAGCGTATCACGCACCAGGCGCTGTTCTAGGCACTTTACCTGCTTTGCCCAGTTTGATTCTGAAAACAGCTTTCTGATGTGTATGCTGTTCCCATGGAAAGGTGAGCAAATGCAGGCCCAGCGATGCTGAGTGGGGACTTGGCATGTGAGAGCCGCTAGGAGGGGCAGAGTCGGACTTAGGCCCAGGCAGGCTGGTGCTGGAGGCTGTGCTCATAATCACCGTGTCCCCTGGCTGCACTGCAGGCTGACCCAGGGCTCCTGTGGCTGAAGCGTACTGTTCAGAAATGCAATTGAATTAAATTGGGCCTAGACGTGGGAGTCCATGCCCACCCCTGACTGCCAGGCCAGTCTCTCCTTCGGCTCCAGTCTGAGCTGGTTTCCTAAAGCCAGAACCGGGTCCCAGGCCCCGCAGAAGCCTCCTCACAAACGTGTTTTCTTTGGCTGGCCCAGTGCTCTGTTCTTCGAATCCCTGTAGACGAAGCAACCTGTCTTTTGTTCATGGCAGTTCCCACCACTCCTCCTTGTCTTCTATCTGGTCAGTCCAGGCTGAGACCACCTGCTGAAAGCCAGCGTCTTGGCTCCTGGGACTTTTGAGTTTATAACTTTCCAACCGAGATCTTTGTTTACAAAGTGAAGATGCTGGAAGCCATGCCAATATTTTAAGAAAGAAAAGGTGGGGGAAACAGCTGAGATTTAACTGCCTCATTTCGGGGTGTTCCTGTGTGCTGATGTGTTGGTGGACAGACAACTTCCTGTTCCCATTGACAATGTTGAGATAGGTGCCCAAGGTCATCATTTGGGTCATTTGCAAATCCTGAAGGACAGGAGAGGGGTTTCCCCACAAGCATGCTCTGCTTTGGATGTAAGTTCCTCCCCCTCCTCCCTGCAGTGAGGACAAGACGAGGAAGCTGGGGTCTGGTACCAGGAAACCAAACGCTGCTTCCCTCCAAGGCAGGGCCAGCAACCGTATGTCAAGGGCCAGAGAGTCAAGATTTTAGACTTCACAGGCCACACACAGTCTCTGAGGGCAGTTAAATATCAGTTAAAAAAATATTTACAACCTTTAAAAATGTGAACCCATTCTTAGTTTGGAGGCCATACCTCAACGAACTCAGATGGATCCGGTAATGGTTTGCCAATCCTGCCTGAGGAAACAAATTAGCAAACAAAAGTTATAAACCCTCTCAGTTAACTTTGGAACCTGTTGCAGCGATGAAAGCCAATGCAGAAACTGCCCCAGATGTGACCAGGGCCCGGCACAAAGGCAGGCCATGCACAAGGACACGTGTGGGATCAGAGGCAGGTGACCCAGACCTCCCAGCTGTGCACCAGGGCTGGCCAGCCGTCCCCACAGACGATCAGGGACACTGAGCTCACCAGGCACCATGCTGGGGGCTGTAAGCAACTTTGCCAAGTTCATTTCTCTTGTGGAAGTCTGAACTTGAGCTAAGCAACAATGACGGTCTGGGGTGGAGAAAGAAATGAGTTAGCGAGGATGTGGAGTCTATTGATGGAGGGGCTTTCGCAGGATCCTTTTTGCACAGAGGACAGTTACCCCCAGGTGCAGGGAGCAAGGATGTGGACTGGAAGTTGTCGAGGTCATGGTCTCTGAAGCTGAACTCTTAGGGGACTGATTCCCCCGATGTTTACACAGGCAGGTACAGGTCACCTACGTCACATCAGAGGAGGGCATCCTAGAAGGAGAGGCATTTGGAGCAGCTTTGAGGACCCGTCCCCCAAATGGCACTTCCTGTCTAAGCCTGTACCTTCCTGGGGCGGGTTTTGCCCCCAGGCCGGCTGTTGGCAGCTGTGTAGAAAGCGGCTGTGAGCGCACCTTGTAAGACATGAGTGCTCCCTCTTGAAGATGTGCCTGCGTAGAAACAGTCATAGACTCAAACCTGTAGCCACTGGGTGGATGCAGGGCTACCAGGACCCCGCTTTATAAAACATGGTTGGGGGCAATGTTTTTTTACTGTCTTATTACCTGGCAAAACAATCCAGGTGGTGTGTGAATCACCGGTAGAGGTTAGAAGGTCCCAGGAAGTAGACTCCGCCTTACAAACCGTGGATCTCAACGAAGAGGCGGAGGCCACACCTGCACCCCCAGAAGGAAAACTCAAAAGAGAAGAACGCAAGCCACCGACAAATTCTCTGATGGCGTTCCTCAGACAAATGGTAAGCCGCTCGCTTCCAGTGCAGGCAAACCTGAACCCCTCGCGTAGCTTCCAAGGCTAAAATCGCATGTGCACAAGCATGAGATAGAATTACAGGCGGAGTGGAGGGCATGTGAAGTGTGCGGTGAGAAAATTCCCTTTTATGCTTCAGATTCAATCACAGAGAAAGTCTGTTTATTGCTAATCCTATATAATAAAAAGGGAATATGCAAATCGACCGTCACTCTGTCACAAAGATGGCAGTGCCCACAGCAGAGGCGGGGTTTCTGTAATGAGCCTTAACCCTTAACAAGCAATCAGCAGGGACCTGAGACTGCACCCACCTACCCCCCACACCCCCAACGTGGGGCTTGACAGGGGACCTCAGGCCACGCCCAGCAATATTAAAATATTTCCTCTAATTAATCCCCTTTTAGTGTGCACGAATTTCATGCACCAGGCCACTAGTATTTCATAACCTTTCGTTAACCTCTACTAACCCCTTTTTAAAAAATGTTTTTTATTGGTTTCAGAGAGAGGAAGGGAGAGGGAGAGAGAAACATCAATGCAAGAACATCCATCGGTTACCTCCTGCACACCCCCCACCAGGGGTTGTGCCCCAACAGGGAATCAAACTGGTGCCCTCTTGGTACACAGGATGATGCTCAACCAACTGAGCCACAGCGGCCAGTGTTTCCTGTGGAAATTTTTAAAACAAGACTTATTAATTCGACCAGAGTATAGTTAGCATAGAATGAAGGTAAGGACCAAATGTGTTTTCTTCTCAATATGTACCTGGCGAAGTTAATATTATTGTTTATTATTATTTATTTGTGAAGGTTCTACCTGTTTATGGCAAAAGACACTGCTTTCCTTATGACAGGAATTATATGCGGTTTCCTTTGAAAACACATTTATGACATAAAGAACATAGGCATTTTTAAAGGATTAAGTAATGAATAGTCAAAGTTACATATTGATGTTGGAAAATTCTGAAGATGACACAAACTTGGATAAAGCTGACTTATAGATATTCAAATAAGGAAATGAGAACATAATTTTCTAAGAATGAATATGTATAACTTAGTTGGTAAATTCGCCATTCTCTTAGTTATATAGAATGGAAAGAATTCAGGCATACAGCCTTTGGTGTCTATAAAGCATCATCCACATTAAATACCTAAAGATCCAAGAACTTAAATAATATAATGAACTAACACCAAAATCAGTCGGAAGACAAAAGGCAAAAATTTATGTAAAAGGTCATTGGTTTAATTCTCTTTTAATGAAAAACAAGAATTTCATTATCGTGTGCCTTCATGTTCATGAGTATTTGGGAATTTAATCCTTTAAGGAAGCAACTCTAATTTCACAGGCCCAACCTGTTAAGGAATTCTTTCTAGTCCGCAAAACAAAACAACACAACACCCTTGCCAGTGGGAGTTGAGGCATGTGCGAAATAACTCTTAGAAACTGTTGGCAGGAACTGTTCTCTTTCGTTGCTGGTTTCTCATGGAGAAGCTGCGTAGGGGAAGGCGTGGGCAGCCTATGTGGCCAGAACCCCATCCATATTCCTGGCCATTTGCTCTGCAATTTGGCACTGAAAATGGGGATCAAGATTGGAGATGTTTAAACCAATTTGTACACAATGTCAGGAAAGAAAAGAACATTTGGCCTGTTTCTGGAAACCCACCTGCATCACAAATGGGGTCCCCAAATAGCTCGTCAGAGCCTTGAGTGTGATTCAGCTGGCCCATGTCTGAATGGAGTTGAGAGATAACATGTATGTCAAACAGAATGACTTTCTCTTCCAAATAACCAACATGCTCAACTTCTTCACTTAAAAGAGAGGAAAACATAAGAGACTCCAAATAAAGCATAAAAGACGTGTAAACCATCCATTCAAAACAAATCCTTACATTCCATTGAGTCCCATGTTACTTAAATTCATCCTCCAGAGCTATCCATTGCTTGGTGATATTTTCTAGCAGTAGAAACTGAGTAATCTGAACTGTTAGGGGTACAAAATTGGAAACAAAAGTCCTTTGGAATTGATTTTCCATAAGATGGGGATAGAGGTAGAAGCCTTTTATTTTCCGAAGCAGACTTCAGGGGATTCATAGTGTCAGGGCTCACAATGTCCATTGTTTTTAATATCTGTTGCCCAAGAAAAGGGTGGTGCCTGGGAGCTTACACATTGTTCCTTTGATTGTGTAAGCTCCAAAGCTTCCATGACTGTTGGGATTTCTCCTAAAATTCCAGATATCCTAATGACCCTTGTCTTACATTCTGTTCTGATTTCATTATAACATTATATTACTACTAGAGGCCCGATGCACAAAATTCATGCAAGGGGCTTGGCCCTCGCAGACTCGGCTTCGTCCGGAAGGTCATTCGTTTGTCCGGTCTAATTAGCATATTACACTTTTATTATTATAGATTGTGATTAATTCAAATCCACGAAAGACTTGGGTTTGCTAGTTTACCACAATCCCCACTACTTCCTATTGTCACATCCAGCCCAGCTCACTCATTTATGTCACTGGCCCTACCCCTGTGAGCATTTGAGTTTGAAGCCCCTGATACAGAGCCACGTCATCCTTTATAACAACTTCATTGAGTCTCATTGTCTGGATTTATTAGACTCTGATTTGCCCTTGCTCTGTTGGCGGACAATTGGTTTGTTTCCAGCTCGTTGCATTTCATTCATTCACTTATTGAACAAATAATTATTGAGCACCCACTTTACTCAGGCACAAGGGATACAGCCGTGAGCATCAGACACGGTTCTTGTCCTCATGGAGACGAAAGCTAAGGAAAAAAACAGGCGCTTATTTTTCTCTCTCTGACGCACTGAGTGAGCACAAACCATGTGTCTTACACACAAGGTCTCACCTACTTCGCTAACTGGCATGAACACCCCTGCCCCCTGCTTTTATGCATCTGTGTTAATATGCCCTTAGTGTAGCCTTCTGGAAGTCAGCTTCGGCAATTATTTTGAGGAAATATTTTTAGATTATATATAGTGGCTTCCAAACTAATCTAAAGTATTTGTATTTATGCAGGAAGGAAAAAAATAAACTGCTCTAAGGGCTTGAAAATAGAGACAGTACCTGTTCCATCCCTATGGCATTCTTTGTGTTGTTGTTTTGTTTTTTGAATAAAATAAGGAAATGTTTCCACTGATTTTAGATATTGTTACATAATATAGTTTTTTTAAAATAATTGACTTAATAGAAGAGAAAACTCAATTTCAAATGAATCCCTTTTTTGTAAGTTATGTCTCCAGTCACCAGATCATTGATTTTCCACCTTCTAGTCTTTGTCACCCTCAAGTTTCCTTCAGATAATGCATTCACCATCCCATGACTAAGTAACTCTTGTTTGAGTTTTTATTTTAATAAATGTATTGCCCAGTTCATTTCTAAAGAGAGCTTTTTCCTTCCAGAAATTGACCTCATAAAAGTAAAAATAGAAAGAATGTCATTTTTTTCCAAATAATTTTGTTTCAGGGTGGGGGGAAAAATAGAGTCATGTAAGTACTTACCTTACAGGTAGATATAGCACTTCACAAAGACCCTCTGGGCTCCTACAGGTCTTCAGCGTAATTGCAAGGAACAGCTGAAACATCTGTCATGCCCCAATCAAAAATGATGCTTCTATGCATTAAGTCAACTGTATGTCAAGAAATTGGATAGTTGAAGCAGTATATTTTTATAAAGTGAGTGGGTAGAGGACTGTATTCATGTAGCTGCAAACCAGGTAGGCAGATGAAACCATAAAGGTGGTAGAGAGAAATAGAGACATACAGATCTATCATTTGTCAATATTAATAACACCCTGTACTTGAAAAGTACAGTACGTTCCTCCTCCAAATTAGTGTCACATACATTGTTTCACTGAATCCTCCTCCAGTCTCCTTAGACCATTAGTTTTGAAGGAAACTCTTTGTTAGAGTAACATTCTCAGGCTTAGGTAAAAAAGAGTGTGAGCTTCAGTATTGGGCAAAATACATTCAATCTAATGAGTCTAAGAAAACCTGTTGAAATTTATTACCTGGAACAGGTGGGGAAGACGGTGGTTTGTAATGGTAACTATAAAACAAAACAAAACAAAACACAAGAGTTTTCTAGCCAAAGTTGGGGTGGGGGGGTGTTGCTGTTGTTTTTTTAATATATTTTTAT